CATGACTATGATCTCCAGGGACCACATGATAGAAGGAGAGAATCATTCTCAGAAGTTGTCCTTTAACACCTGCGCCATGACATGAGTTCACACACATACACACACACACACACATACACACACACACACACACACACACACACACACACACAAATAAAGAAATATATGTGATTAAAAATTTCCTCATAAATACATTTAATTACTTTCTTTTAATTCTTCTGTAATAAAGGATCCAAGTCCCAAACGTCAGTATAAAACTACAGTTATGTTCTTGGGATAAAGAATATTCATGGAGAAATAAAGTAGGGTACTCAGTTCATTCCCATGCTAGTTGGTAATGTTCTTTGACCTCTCAGTACCTCAGTTTCCAGTCTTTAAAAAACAAAGACAATGAGAGCCAGTGAGATGGCTCAGTGGGTAAAGGTACTTGCTAACAAGCCAGAAGCCTGAGTTCAATCCCAGGAACCCACCTGGTGGACGAAGAAAACCTACTCCCGTAAGTTTTCCTCTGAGCTTCACACTCAAGCCCCTACAAACAAGTAAATAAACGTAATTTTAAATATTTTTAAACAATGAGATCTTTTGTCTATAAAATATGAAGATTTGGTGGTACAAGTCTTGAATCCCAGTACGTAGGCCACACAGGCAGGGGGATCTCTGAGTTCAAGGCCAGCCTGGTCTACAGAGCAAGTTCTAAGACATCCAGGGTTATACAGAGAAACCCTGTCTTGAGAAAACAAAAACAAAAAAAAAATGAAGATTTCCACATTATAAAACCATTGTCTTTGATGATACATGATTGGATACTACCATTCTCATAGATTTCTAGTTACCTTTAAATAAAAATAGACTGAACCAATTTGTTAGAAGTTACTTTTCTACATTTGCTAACATTTCTACATCTTTTGCTGAAACTATAAAACAATTAAAATTGTTTCTTTGTCCAAAAATCAAATTAGAGACTGATACTGAAATTAGCTTTTTCATTATTATTATTGTTAGAAAGGGTCATACTATGTAACTCTGGCTATTCTGGAACTCACTCTGTAAACCAGGCTGGCCTTGAACTCACAGACATCTATTTGCCTCTGCCTTCCTAGTGCTGGTGTTAAAGGGAGTTTTGTTTTGTTATTTTCTGTATTCTTTTAAGAATCATGAGTATTTGCCTGCACATTTTTATATGCATAGTCTGTACATGCCTGTAGCTGCAGAGGCTAGAAGAGGCCATCAAATCCCCTATAACTGAAATAACAGAAGGTTGTAAGCAGTCCTCTGCAAAAGCAGCAAGTACTCTTAACTTGTGAGTCATCGATCTAACCCCCTGAAATGATATTCTTATTCCATTTTATTTTAGCCTTTGTCTAAAATAAAAGAACATAATGTAGCATTGTAGTGCTGTTAACAGGCTGAAGTTACTTAGAAATGGACCAAGAGACCAAAAGAAGAAAAGTCATTCTCTGAGACTTGTGGGTTTTTTTTTTTTTTAAATATATTCCTTTATGTTGTACTCGCTTTAGAGAGGACTGGGTAAAAAAGGCATTACTAAACTTAAAACTTTTTTCAGGATGAAAAACCTGGACTGAGATTTCATAACAGATTACACCTGAGTGGATAAAAACAGAAGCAGACTCCTGAGGTGGCAACCAGGGGTCAAAAGTTGGAGGCTATTTTGGACTATCTAGCAAAATCCTGAGAGAGAGAGAGAGAGAGAGAGAGAGAGAGAGAGAGAGAGA